GGCAAAGCCTAGACAGCTTGCTATAAGTACACAGAGAGGGAAATGGCAAAGCCTAGACAGCTTGGTATAAGTACACAGAGAGGGAAAGGAAGCCTTGATTGTCTATTGACTGACTTTGTCTATGATTATACATATTTACTGAATGACTTGGTCACAACATAGATCAATGACTGATCAACTACTTGACAACTGTGGTTGGCTGATCCTTCATTTACTTGGTCAGTGTCTAGTGCTAGATAAATTATTGAATTTAATTTGACTTACTGATTTGATGAGATAATCTCTGCAGCTTTCACTTGTACCACCCAGGATTTAGACGGTTCTATCCACACATCAGGTCTCTCCTAAAGAAACAAAATATAATATAGCTGCATAGCAGCGATGACGGGTTTCGAGCCTGCATGGCTCATGGCAAATTGCACTTGGTTGATGTGATTATTTGATGAACGTTTCATGTCTAAAATGCAATGTTCTTAACAAGTCCTCTGGTATTTTGCTATTATGAACGACACTGGAATCAACAGACATAACCATTCATAGTCATCTGTCTAATGTTCGGCAAATTGGTCATGAGTTATAGCGTAATTTCACTTTTTACTAAATCCACGATGGCTGCCAAAAAGGGCATTTTTCAAAAATCTGCTTCAAAAGCTTTGTAGAGCTATCAACATAGGTGCCATATTCTAAACTGCTTGTCAAACAAGCAAGCAATTTTTAAGAAGATAATTTTTTGAGATTTTTTGCATTTTTTTGATAAATTCAAGATGGTCGCCAAAACCACTTGAATCATGGGAAATATTGTTATGAACACATAATCATCTTATTGAAGGGATGTTGTATACCAACTATGGTGTCAATCCGTCAAATTGTTCATGAGTTATAGCATAATTTCACTTTTTACTAAATCCAAGATGGCTGCCAAAGGAACCCATTTTTCAAAAATCCGCTTCAGTAACTTTATAGAGCTATCAACAGTGATACAATATGCTAAATTGCTTTTCAAACAAGCAAGCAGTTTTTAACAAGATAATTTTTTGAGGTTTTTTGCATTTTTGTGATAAATTCAAGATGGCCGCCAAAACCACTTGAATCATGGGAAATATTTTCATGAACTCATAATCATCTTATTGAGCGGATGTTGTATGCCAAGTTTTGTTTCAATCTGGCAAATTGTTCATAAGTTATAGCGTAATTTCACTTTTTACTAAATTTAAGATGGCTGCCAAAGGAAGCCATTTAAAAAAAAACCTGCTTCAGGAGCTTTGTAGAGCTATCAACAGAGATACTATATGCTAAATTGCTTTTCAAACAAGCAAGCAGTTTTTAACAAGATAATTTATTGAGGTTTTTTGCATTTTTGTGATAAATTCAACATGGCCGCCAGAACCACTTGAATCATGGGAAATATTTTCATGAACACATAATCACTGATGAGTGGATGTTGTATGCCAAGTTTTGTCGAAATCTGGCAAATTGTTCATAAGTTATAGCGTAATTTCACTTTTCACTAAATCCAAGATGGCTGCCAAAGGAAGCCATTTTTCAAAAATCTGCTTTAGTAACTTTGTGCAGCTAT